TTTGAGACCTATTTCACTGACACCAACGTTGTCCAAAATTGCCGAGCACTACGTCGTCCATGAACATGTGAAACCAGCACTTCTGAAACGCCTGGAACCCGATCAATTTGGGTGTATTCCAGGATCCTCCACTGCGCATGCATTGATAAACCTGATGCACAATTGGGCGCAAGCAACAGACGGAACGGGGAACACCGTGCGGATCTTTGCGTTGGACTATAGAAAAGCCTTCGATCTGATAGATCACAGCCTCTTGCTATCGAAACTCTCGACCTACAATATCAACCCTTACATCATTAATTGGATAATAGCCTTTCTTAAAGATAGGAAACAAAGGGTCAAACTTGCACATGATTGTCTCTCAGAGTGGGGATCGGTCCGAGCAGGAGTACCGCAGGGAACAAAATTGGGACCGTGGCTATTCTTGGTTATGATAAATGATTTGAAAGTACCATCAGCCAGTGATTGTATAAAATATGTAGATGACACGACAGTGTATGAAATCATAAGCAAGGGTGGTCCTAGCAATGCTCAGTCTATGATAAACGAAGTAGCTACCTGGTCAACACTTAACTCGTTTCAACTTCATCCGAAAAAATGTAATGAGCTAAGAGTTTCCTTCGTGCGCTCCCCTCCTTCCTACGATCTCATAGAAATTAATGGCTCTAAGGTTAGCGCCGTTAGTGTCGTGAAATTACTGGGTGTGTATTTTCAAGACAATCTCAAGTGGAATACTCACGTTACTGAGATGATTAAAAAGGCCGCTAAGCGCCTTTACTTTTTAACTCAGTTAAAGCGAGCTAAGGTACCATCACCAGAATTAGTGAATTTTTATGTTGCTTGCATTCAATCCGTCTTACTTTATGGATGTCAGGTCTACCATTATAGTCTCCCCGATTATTTGAGCTTAAGTTTAGAGCGTGTCCAAAAGAGAGCCTTGAAAATTATATACGGTTATGATAATCATTATAGAGAAGTGCTTCAGATGGCAGAGCTGAAAACCCTAAGGGATCGGAGGGAAGACCTTTGCTTAAAATTCTTTAACAACATCGTCTCCAATCCCTTGGATTGTTTGTACCACTTACTGCCTTTCGACAACCGAGATCAACTTATGGAGTTACGACGACGCAGACCATTTAGAGTTTCCTTTAAAACAAATCGGTTCAGAGATACTTTCATTCCAGCAAGCGCAAGACATTTTAATTGACATCTATTACAATTGTATATGGGCCCATATGTAAATTAGTTCCCTTTTAGGTTTGATTTTATTGTATAGTTCTATTATATAATTTGTACACCTTTGTAATTCAGCTTCCAGCTGCTATTAAGGTATTCTTAATAAACGTCTATCTATCTATTTATCTATTGTTTGGCTCTGTCAGATTTTGGACGCCGTAAGACTCCGTCCGACTTTCGACGTTGTCCGCTCATCAATGAATTTAATTCAAGGTGAAGTTCGATTTTGGAAAACTGATTTTGTCAAAGGACAATTTTGCTCCTGTTTTAGAAACTATACAATATTAGGAAGTATCTGTTGGGTTTTGAGATTCAAAACAATAACCTATCCTGCCTCTGAAAACTGTCCTCAAATGTGCTTACAATTAAACCGCGGATGCCACTAGATTGAGAGGAACGCGGAAACCTTTTTTTTCTGCTTTGCAGAAGTTTTAAGTTTTCTTCACTAAAATTACTTTTTTCTGAACCCAATCTTTCAACGTTGTTCTGAAGCGGAAGAAAACCAAAGAAGAGGTTCCTCTGAGGGATGGGAAATATATTTCGACCAAAAGAAGCGGAACGAGTTAGTTTTTGTGGATGAAAATGATTGACTATTCAACTCCCTATGAGTGACCAAGGCAGAATTTCTCCATACAATATCAATACAATATCAAGCACACAAAAAATTAGAGTAAAGAAAATCATTTTTTTTAGAGGGCACGGAAACGAATCCTGCAATCTGATTGGTTCTTTACCCGGTCAGTATTTTCCTATCTCTGCCCACGGGCAACGGTAACGCTTTCGTGAGTCGCCGAGTACATCCCTTCATTCGTTGCTATTTTTCATAAATATATCTCGTTTTACCGGCTGGGCAGTATTTTTAAGCAAAGAAGTCGGTCACTACCTCAAGCCGATAAATAACTTATTAATCCTCTCTTTTCTCTCTCTCAAGTCACTTTGGTCGACTGAAAAATTTTCGTTTCAGAATTACTTTTTTGTATAAGCAATAATGTCATTACGTCGGTTGGCAGGCGGCCTAAAAGCCGTCTGCAATTAATTTTAATTGTTCACAAAAAGCACCTAGAGGAGTTAAAACGTGAGGTATTTGGCTACAGTTGAACTAATCGATGGAACTTTCATTCATTTAATATCTGAATTTTCTCAAACAATTTGTTCGTTGTGAAAAGGCGAGCGAGTTTTAATTTCAGTTCTGCAACAAATATACGCCCTCGGTGAGTCTTTTCAAGTCCGTTCAATTTGGACATTTGTATCGTAAACTGCACAACAGAAACTTAAGGAATTAAATGAGAAAAGGCCGCATAAAATTCCCCTTTGTCTCGTTGGAGTATATCATCCAAATTTAGTTTTTGCGGAGGAAAGACCAGATTTTCACACGCCATTGCAGCAAACAAACGAGCAAACTCTCACAACTTCAAAACAAAAAATTTGAATTTACTTACAATTACTTTCCTCGCCGATTACTTAATGAACAAAGGTAAATCTTCGTACATAAATTAATCGTCGATGAGAGTGAATAATACTTTCCGTAAGATCATTGACTGTTTTTGAAGAAAACATTGTGGTGATAGTCCTTGCCAAACTAGTTTCGTTGTTTTTTAAAAATTTACATGCGCTTTTTTCTTTTCTTACGCGCTCTCTAATTGACAGGTGTCAGATTGTGAGAAATTCTTGTATAATAACGTTTCAAAGTTTGTTTGGAAGCCTTTTAAATCACTTTCATCATTACGCAAATGAAAATGTCCTCTTAATTTTGCGTCACCTCTATTTTAACTACCATTTTACTCACTCAAAAACTGTTCAGTTTATGGAAGATCTTGCCGTATTTACAGCCTTAAATCATTCGGGTTCTTTCGGAATGAATTTCGTCAAGTTAAAAAAAAATATATGTTATTTACCGGCTAAGGGTCGATCCGTATGAGTGGCTAAACTGCTTCTTATCGATACGCGGAACTAGTTTCAAATTTGGCGCAATAGCTGAGTGCATGATGAAATGTTTTCGCACGAAAAGCGAATAGATATAATATATACAACTTGATTTAGAGCTCTTCTTGTAACCAAAGTAATGGCGTGGCTGAAAAAAAAATTAATTAATTTTTCTCGGTAATGAGGCCTTACTTCAACAATCATTCAGCGGCGAGGCCTTACCTCAACAATCCTCGAAATCTAGAAAGATCTTTTTGAGACCGTTCCAAAATTTTCAACGGACTTCCCCTAAGCATAGGCATAGATTTATCCAATTCTCAAAGCGGACCTCTATGTTGCACCTAAGTTGCCTAGCGCTTCCAGGTTACGCATACAATAGCGCATGTGCATTTCCTTTTCTCTCTCTCCCTTCTATTGACGTTGTGGCTAGATTTGTGTCCCCAATACAGTTGTTCCTAATCTAGCAACTTTTACAAACGGAAGTTCGGTCACGTGTCAGACCAAATTTGGTCGGTTTCATGGGTTATTATTTTTATTATAATTTTATATATGTATGGATAGTGTTCCGCTGCGCGCACGCTGCGACCTCTGCTATGAAAACATTGATTGTAATGCCACGCCCATTGTTCCAGACTTCAGTCTACGAGTACTAAGAATTTGGGGGCAAAATTAATGGATATGAAAATCGTGAAAACTAATAACCTGGAAATGGCAGCTAAACAGTAGAGACTGACATACTTTATTAGTACGAATTTATATGTAGAATAAAATCAACGTGAAAGTATAAACTAAATGATCTCTAAAAAGGTTAAAATGAATTGTTCTTTTAATTAGCGTTTAAATTCTGTCAACGTCCTTTTCCACTTGAGTGACATGCCTAAGGAATTCCAAAGTTTGACATTCCTAACATAAATTGTTTTTCGACTTGTGATGGATCTGTGCAGGGGATCTGGGGAATCTGAGAATTTCCAAAAGTGCGTTAACTTAATGCATCATTAATTTTTCTTACAATGGCAGGGAGAACTGAAGTGGGTCTGAGCGCGTGAGTCGCGATGCGGTCTGACTCTGGCCAGCCTCTTCCTGGGGGCGAGGTTGGAGTCTGACGTCATACTTTGTTCATAGCCAATTGGTTTTCCACCGACTGGAGTTATAAAGAAGCTACGTCATGAATTTGAGGTCTCTTCAGCTCCAAAGGGAATCGTCTTTTTTTAAAATAAGCATTTGTTTGCTGTGGTAGATAAACACTAAAAAAAATTTCAACATAACAAAAAAAAAAACAAACAAACGAGGATAGACGAGAACAGCGATGATAAGCGCAGACTACAGTTTAGGGTAGTTTTCCTAAACGTTAAAGTTCATCCTCCTTCAGTTTTCCTAAAGCACTTTCGACAGATCAAGTTTAATTTGACGATGACCGAAGCTCTCATCTCATACATTATAAATTGGCATCAGAAACGAACCCAACCAATGTGTTACGATTTAATCTAACCGACAATAAAACGCTACAATCATATAAACTCAACTACTTTATTACACAACGAGTGATATTCTTAATAAGGAATGACTCTTAACGTCAGAGCAATCTTCCACTGTAGCTCTCTCTCAAGGTATAGATTTCTAAACAGTCGGTCAGTCTCGACGACAACAACAACTATTACTACTACTACATAATTGAGTCTTTATATACATTCACAAATGAACTATCTCAATATTATTACGTAATAGTTGCGTGACTTGATGAAATGTTTTAGAAAGTTCTATAGTACGCATGTCAGCATGATTAAGCAGTCTGGAGATTTCCAGAAGCTTCTATTTACAATAACAATTATTCACAAGAAATGCTATTCTCTAAATCGATTGACGATGCCTCGCATTATGTCCACGAGAGTGCGACGAATGGGTCCCATCTTCCAGCAGTATATAACAGGGTTCAAAGACGAGTTGAGGAAAAGCAAAGTCGTTGTATAGAGTAAAGCTTCGTAAAGAGAGATTGGACTTAAAAGGCGAGCCAGGAGTAAAAAAGAGAGAATATAGGAAGGCAAATAACAAATCATGAACACAATACATACATAAAATGTTCCAAGAGCTGACTTTCGAAGCTTCAAAAAGTTAGATAAGTCGCCATTTTGAACTCCCTGTTGTACTTCTTGGATTTGAAGGCCTTCAATCTGGATTTTGTGTCGCTTTAAGACTATATAAATCCTCCAGTAGACAATAACCACTACAATGAGGCAAACAGTCATAATCACGAGCCCAATGACTTGTGAACTGAAAAGCAATGGATCCCAAAAGACACTTGAAGAAATGATTGCGCTTAACAGCCATATCGATATCACCGCTGCAATGACGCGCTTGTGAGTCACAAGCTCTTGATATCTGAGATGAAGATGAACAGCGAAGAACCTGTCCACACTAATGGTTACAACATTCAAGAACGAGGATGTACAAAAGAAAGTGAAAACGAGGGACCATCCCCTATGGGAAATGCAGCCGATACGTTTTTGTTCCAACCGGCTGACCAAAGTAGAAATGTAGAGCGGTTGGACCAACAAACCAACGCCAACATCGGAGGCAGCCAGGCTCAATAATAATGTTCTCAAAGGTTTTGGCAACAACGCGGTTTTCCTTATCGCATGGATGGTAACGATGTTCAAAATGATGGTTGTATAAGACAAAAAGCTGTTGAAGACACAATTAGCGACAAGCGCCGGACGAAAATCTTTAACATTCGCAGAGGTTCCAGAGAAAAACTCGTTAAAAAGGTTGCAAATGTTTTCCTCCATGAGATCTGAGCGTCAAAACTACTGTGGCTCTGATATTTTCCAATTCTAACACGGAAAATTTTAAGTCGTGTGTAGCTGTCATTCATAAGCATATAACACAATCGAAGCCAGTTGTACGTACAGTCAAGATGTCTTCAACTCTGACATTTGAATTTTTTAAAAGGGCATCGAGTATTGCTTTAACTCGGCGTTGGTTAGAACTAAAACTAATTATTTGTTTAATGCTTCAAAACGTTTTAACTAAACATGGGATCTATACCTGAAAAAAGGTTATTTGAAGGAAAGCTGTCATTAACATATTTTTTTTAATCTATCAAAATGAATATACGAAACATTATAGTCAGTTAAATTAAAGAGCGCTTGAAATATCCTTCTTTATTATTAAATTCGTCTGAATACACTGAATACATCTTCAGATACCGAGCATTTTATGGTTGGTGAGGAGTGGGAGAGAGATCCAAATAATTATTACGAAGAAAGTACGCACTCGTTTGTGGCAGATCTAGGAGGTAATCAGAATGTTCAGCAAACTTACTAAACTGAGATAATACCGGCATATATTTCAGTCGTTTTAGAGTAGCTTGAGAATATTTCCCGGGAGTGTATTATTACAGATAGCCCTCCCCCTTACTGACGACCGCGTTCGGTTCTCACTTTGACCACCTCCTCACAATTCCCGGATCCACTTCAGTTCATAAACAGCTGCACTTAGCTCTGAAAAAGTTTAGCAATGGCCCCGTAATATTTTTACATATTTCAACCGAAAATTTTTTTTCAAACAATGATTCTGCATTAAGCACTTAAACAAAAAGAATACAGGAAGTTTTACTATTGTTCATGTTGACGGCAGATGTAAATTAAAAATGAGGGCTGGCTTTTTTGTGACATCAATATATGTAGACATGTAAATTAAGTGTGAAAATTGCAATATTGTGTTAGAATATGAAAGACTTTAGCCTGTTAGGGTCAGAAAGTAAAGAAGGAATGAAAAACAACGAATCGGCAAATAACAGGACTATAATTTTATTTCGTCCAGAGGTAAAGAGTAGTTTGCAAATGAGCGGTGTCAAAAACAGTCAGGAATTATAGTAGTTTCACTTTACATCGTAAAGTGATTCGTCAAGAGTTTCGCTCCATCTGTCAGCTACTCGAAAGCAGTTAGAGCCAGTCGAGACTTTACTAATAAATAAACAAAATGATTTTTCTTAATTTTTCTCTCTAAATAATCTACTTGTTAAAGTTTATCCGTTGTTGCAAATAGAAAATGTTGAATTCAGGTTGTAATGGAAAAAGCAGAACCCTGAAAATTCAGCGCATAAGAATACTCCATCTGAATCTTGTGCCATTATACTCGAAGAAAAATGTTATGTGGTGCTACATGTTGTGCAACCATCCATATGTGCAATCATATGAATGCAGACGACTAAGTGACCGACTTCGAGAACACCTTCGCGACATCGAAAGAAATGACAAGGACGCATCCAAACCAGTCGCTAAACACTTTAATCTCCCCAATTATTCTATACAGCATATGGCAGTTTCCGGCCTTTCCCTAAATTCAGGCAGTTCGTAAAGCCGCAAAACACTAGAACAAAAATTTATCTTCCAAATCGGCACTCTTAATCCCCACGGTATCAACAAGCGCTTTTGATTCAACTAATTTATTCTTGTTTTCTCGTCACCATATTCCCATTAATAGCGTAGCACAATTTTTTCCATTTAAACCCACACACAACCCACAACTCCTCTAATCGCTCTGACGAAGGGCTAAAGCTCGAAACGTCAGCCTTTACACTCTTCACGGTGACCAATTTACGTTTTCATTTCAGTTGTTAACACCAAATTACCAAATTATCGATTGCTGACAACTGACTTTAGTGATAATTTCCATAAGAGTGTTAACTTTATGCATCACTAATTTTTCTTACTAGTTGAGAGCACTAAAGTGGATCTAAGCACGTGATTCGCAATCCGGATTCTAACCAGCCTCCTCCTGGGAGCGAGGTTGGAGTCTGACGTCATGCTTTGTTCATAGCCAACTGGTCTTCCGCCGGCTGGAGTTATTAAGAAGCAACGTCATGTAATTTGAGATCTCTTCAGCTCCAAAGGGAATCCTCTTTTTTTTTAAGTAAGTGTTTGTTTGCTGAGCTAGTCAAACATTGAAAAAAGTTCCAATATACCAAAATATAGAGAGGATAGCCGAGAACAGCGGTGATTGCCGCAGGGTACAATTAAAAAAGGTGAAAATTGATGCTAAGTTTTTCAAAACGGACCAACCGTCTGAATCAAAGGCGTCGAGCTCCTTCTACTTTTTGTAACTCGCATAAAATGTATAACCTTCCGTCTTTCCCTAAGTAGGTAAGTGCATGGGTTACTATTCACAAGGTTGAGACTTTTAATCGAATGGACAACCATCAAGTCTTGTCGACTTAATATTATTCTTTATATCAGAAACTGCACAAGTAAATTCTGGAAGTCTATGTGTGACCGCAAGTAACTAGCGGCTTTATTCGAAGAGAGTTACATTTAACTGTAATAAAAACACTGATGAACTCGTGGCACTTATTACACTATAAAGCGACCTAAAAATCTGTTTTGTATTTAATTCACAAGCTATGCACTTAACAAGGTTATAAAGTTACTGACCCATCGACAATAACAAATACATACATTAATTGATGACAACCTAGAAATAATATTTCAAGCGGTGAGGAGGCTTTCTGGTCATTTATAAATTTCTCATACAAAATGCGCTTGAAATTAGCAACTGATATTTTCTTAGGCTAAACTCTGTCGTACTCCATTGCGTAATTTTCCTAACCGTTAAATTTCATCCACCTCTGTTTTCCGTAAGTACTTTTGACAAATCAAGTTTGATTTTACCATGGCCGTGGCTCTTATCCCATGCATTGTGAATTGGTATCAGAAGCAAATCCAACCAATTTTATTCTCTGAACCGATTTACGATGCCTCGCATTATGTCCATGAGAGTGCGACGAATGGGTCCCATCTTCCAGCAGTATATAACAGGGTTCAAAGACGAGTTGAGGAAAAACAAAGTCGTTGTATGGGGCCAAGCTTTGTAGTAGGAGATTGAATTTAAAAAGTGAGCCATGAATAAAAAAGAGAGAATATAGGAAGGCAAATAACAAATCAAGAACACAATACATGCGTAAAATGTTCCAAGGGCTGACTTTCGAAGCTTCAAAAAGTTTGATAAGTCGCCATTTTGAACTCCCTGTTGTACTTCTTGGATTTGAAGTTCTTCAATCTGGTTTTTGTGTCGCTTTAAGATTATGTAAATCCTCCAGTAGACAATTACTACCAGAATGAGGCAGCCAGTTATAATCACGAGCCCTATGACTTGCGAGATGATAAACAATGGATCCCAAAAGACATTAGAAGAAATAATTGCGCTTAACAGCCATGTTGATATCACGGCGGCAATTACGCGCTTCTGAGTGACACGTTCTTGATATCTGAGATGAAGATGAACAGCTAAGAACCTGTCCACACTTATGGTTACAACATTAAAAAACGAGGACATACAAAAGAAATTGATGACGACGGACAATCCCTTGTCGTAAATGCAGTCGATACGTTTTTGTTTTAACCTGCTAACCAAGGTAGAAATGTAGAGCGGTTGGACCAACAAACCAACCCCAACATCGGTGGCAACTAGGCTGAGTAATAATGTTCTCAAAGGTTTTGGCAACAACGCGGTTTTCCTTATCGCATGGATGGTAATAATGTTCAAAAAGATGTTTGTATAAGACAAAAAGCTGTTGAACACACAATTAGCGACAAGTGCCGGACGAAAATCTTGATAATCCGCTGAGGTTCCATAAAAAGACTCGTTGAGAATATCGCAAGCTTTTTCCGCCATGAGAGCTGAGCGTTAAAACCACAGAGCCTCTGATATCTTCCGATATTTTATTACGGAAATTTTAGTAGCTGTCAATCACGAGGATAGAACACAATCGAAGCCATCTGTACGTACAGTCAAAATGTCTTCAACTCTGTCATTTGCATTTTCGAAAAAAGCATCGAGTATCGCTTTCATTCGACGTTGGTTAAAACTAACACAAATTTTGTGTTTAATGCTTCAAGAAATTTTAGCTAAACATGGGATTTATACCTGAAAAAAGGTAATTTAAAAGAGAGCTTTCATTAACATATTTTTCATCTATCAAAGTGAATAAACGAAACATTATGGTCAACTAATTAAAGAGCGCTTCAAATATGTTTCCCTATTTCTAAATTCGATTGAATACACGGAAGACATACTCAGAGACAGTATTTTTACATATTTAAACCAAAGGAGATACAGATAAGACATTTTATCAAACGCTACTATAATTCTGCATAAAACACTTAAACGAAAAGAATACAGGAAGTTTGGCTACTGTTTATGTTGACGACTGTTGTAAATTAAAAATGAGGGCTGGTATTTTTGTAACATTAATACATGTAAATTAGAAGTGAAAAATGCAATTTTATGTTTGAATATGAAAAATTTTAGCCTGTTAAGGTCAGTAAGTAAAGAAATAATAAAAAACAACAAATAGGTGAATGGCAGGACTATAAGTTTATTTCGTACAGAAGTGAAAAGAAGTCTGCAAATGAGCGGTGTCATGGATCGTAATAGTTTCGCTTTACATCGTAAAGTGATTGGTCAAGTGTTTTGCTCCATCTTTCAACTACTCGGAAGCAAATTAAAGCCAGTTGCCACTTTACTAATAAATAACAAAATGATTTTCCTTGATTTTTCTCTCTAAATAATCTGCTGGTTAAAGTTTGTTCACTATTGCAAATAGAGAATGTTGACTTCAGGTTGTAATGAAAATGCAGAACCCTGAAAATTGTGCGCATAAGAATAGTCCACGTGAATCTTGTGCCATTATGCTCGACAAAAAATTTTATGTGGTGCTATATATTATGGAATCATCCATACGTGCAATCATATGAATGTAAATGGACAAAACTTCCATGTGGCACTGTTTGTAATGAGGTGAGAAGGGATTCCTACCTTTACATAGGAATTCGACAATATTCCTCGTCCCTTATGCTGTACTCATGGTAATCATGTCAGGTATTGGAACCTTTTGCCTTCTTGTCACTACAGCAATCTATTGCAAGATCTGTTTTATTACACGACGCCGCAAGAGGCAAATTCAGCAACCACGAGAACTAGAGGCGTAAGTTGGACAAAATAGCGAGATGAAGCAAGGATCATGAAAACTGCTGCCGGTGTTTTATACGTTTACTTTGCGTTCTTGGGTTTGATATTTCCCTCGCTTTATCCTTTTGGCTGCCCGTGCAATTACCGGCCCCAATATTGTAACAACTAGTTTTTCACTTTATAGACATGCGCTTATGTTCTTCAATTCATCACTAAACCCTGCTATTTTTCGGCTGAAGGATGAGACAAATTCGACACGGTATACTAGACACACAACGAAAAGTATACACCTATCGTAAGCCATGATTTTGGACTGTGAGAGCGATATTCATTCTGCAATCCACCGTCTTATTCCAAGCGCATTTTGCGCATTTTGCCCTTTGCGAAGTATCAATCTGGCTCCGTCTTATTTATCGGTTCTGTCAAATTCTGGATGTCGTAAGACTCCGTCCAACTTTCGACGTTGTCCGCTTATCAATGACATTTAAGTCAAGGTGAAGTTCGACTTTGAAAAATCGATTTTGTGAAGGAAGACTGAATTATGCTCCTGTTTTAGAAACCATACAATAGCAGGAAGTACCTATTGGGTCTCGAGACTCAAAACAACAACCTATCCTGCTTCTAAACACTGTCCTCAAATGTGTATAAAACCATGGACGCCACCTGATTGAGAGCAACGGAGGTAAAAATCGCGTAAACTAATATCTCAGAAATGGCGGTTAACAAATATAGATGACATACTTAGGTCGTCCCAAAAGGGCTTTTCAGAATAAAGATACATTGTACGAAGGGGATATATACATGCAAATAGATGTAAAAACTAATGTGAAATAAGATATTAAATTATCTAGAAAATAGTTAAAATAAAATGTTTCTTTAAGCAGCGTTTGTATTCTGTCAACGTCCTCTTCTACTTGGGTGACAGGACCTAATAAACTGTTCTTTGCCCTTTGCTGGGTGTGCACAGGGGGATCTGAGGAATCGATCTTCCGCCGACTGGAGTAATTAAGAAGCTACTTCATGTAATCTGAGGTCTCTTCACCTTGAAAGAGTATTGTTTATTTTAAACCGCACAACTGAATTCTGGAAGTCTATGTGTGATCGCAAGTAAGAAAAGGTTATATTCAAAGAGGGTTACATTTAACTGTAGTAAAAACACTGATGAACTTGTGGCCCTTATTACACTATAAAGCAACCTAAACGTCGGTTTTGTATATAATTCACAAGCTATACACTTCATAAGGTTACTGATAATTTAGTATCCTATCGAAAATTAAAAATACATACGTCAAATGATGACATGACTTTGAAGTAATATTTCAAGTAGCGAGGAAGCTTTCTGGTCATTTTCAAATTTCTCATACAAAATACGTTTAAAACTACAACTGATACTTTCTTATGCTTGACTTTATAGTACCTCACTGTGTAGTTTTCCTAACCGTTAAAGCTCATCCTCCCTCAGTTTTCCTTACGCACTTTCGACAATCAAGTTTAATTTGACGATGGCCGAGGCTCTTATCCTAAGCACAGTGAATTGACATCAGAAGTGAACCCAATTAATGTGTTACGGTATAATCTAACCGACAGAAAAACGCTTCAATCCAGCAAACTCAACTACTTTATTTGTCGAGGGATTTCCTAATAAGGAGTGACTCTTAGAGGCAGTATAGTACTTATACTCCATAAACTTACTTTAGCCCACCACAGTCTATATCTTAGCTCGCCGTTGAGAAGAACTCACAGTTTCCTCAAACGTTTCTTGAAATTAGCAATCTTCCACTCTAGCTCTCTCTCATGGTATAGCTTTCTCAAAAGTCGGTCACTCCCGACAGCAACAACAACTACTACAACTACACAACTGGGTCCTTATATACATCCACAAAGTGTTCTGGAACATTCCAGAAGCTTACAAAAGAACTATTTTAGTAGTATTACGTAATAGTTGCGTGACTTGATCAAATGTTCTAGAAAGTTCTATGGTGCGCATGTCAGCATGACTAAGCAGTCTGGACATTTCTAGAAGCTTATATTTACAACAACAATTCCTCATAACAAATGCTATTGTCCATGAGAGCGCGACGAATGGGTCCCATCTTCCAGCAATAAATAACAGGGTTCAAAGACGAGTTGAGGAAAAACAAAGTCGTTGTATGGGGCCAAGCTTTGTAGTAAGAGATTGAACTTAAAAGGCGAGCCAGGAGTAAAAAATAGAGAATATAGGAAAGCAAATAACAAATCAAGAACACAATACATGCGTAAAATGTTCCAAGAGCTGACTTTCGAAGCTTCAAAAAGTTTGATAAGTCGCCATTTTGAACTCCCTGTTGTACTTCTTGGATTTGAAGGCCTTCAATCTGATTTTTGTGTCGCTTTAAGATTATGTATATCCTCAAGTACACAATTACTACCAGAATGAGGCAAACAGTCACACTCACGCACCCTATGAATTGTGAGATCATAAACTGTGGATCCCAAAAGACACTAGAAGAAATAATTGCGCTTAACAGTCATATTGATATCACGGCGACAATAAGGCGCTTGTGAGTGACACGTTTTCGATATCTGAGATGAAGGTGAACAGCTAAAAACCTGTCCACACATATGGTTACAACATTAACGAACGAAGATGTACAAAAGAAATTGATGACGACCGACAATGCCTTGTCGTAAATGCAGTCGATACGTTTTTCTTTTAACCTGTTGACCAAGGTAGAAATGTAGAGTGGTTGAACCAACAAACCAACCCCAACATCGGTGGCAACTAGGCTCAATAATAATGTTCTCAATGCAAAGTGTCTGGCAAAAACGCGGTTTTCCTTATCGCATGGATGGTAATAATGTTCAAAAAGATGTTTGTATAAGACAAAAGCTGTTGAAGACACAATTAGCGACGAGTGCCGGACGAAAATCTTCAAAATCCGCTGAGGTTCCATAAAGAGACTCGTTGAGAATATCGCAAACTTTTGTCGCCACGAGAGCTGAGTGTTAAAACTACAGTGGCCCTGATATTTTTAAATTTTTAAGTCATATGTAGCTGTCAGTCACGAGCACAAAACACAGTCGAAGCCATCTGTACGTACATTCAACATGTCTTCAACTCTGGCCTTTGCGTTTCTGAAAAAAAGCATCGAGTATCGCTTTCATTCGGCGTTAGTTAGAATTAAAACAAATTATCTGTTTAATGCTTCAAGCCATTTTAAGCAAACATGGGGTTTATACCTGAAAAAGTTATTTGAAGGAAAGCTGTCATTAACATATTTTTATCTACCAAAATGAATAAACGAAACATTATAGTTAGTTAAATCAAAGAGCGCTTGACATATGCTTCTTTATTACTTAATTCGTCTGAATACACTAAATACATCTTCAGAGACCGAGCATTTTATGGTTGATGAGGGGTGGGGAGAGAGACCCACATAATTATTACGAATAAATTACTGACTCGTTTGTGGCGGATCAAGGAGGTAATCAGAATGTTTGGCAAACTTACTAAAAAGAGATAAAACCTCCTTTTTTTCAGTCGTTTTAGAGTAGCTTGGGAATATTTTCCGGCAATAGATATTACAGATAGCCCTTCCCCTTTATAGTCGCCAACCGCGTCCGGCTCTCACTTTAACCGCCTCCTCACAAGTCCTGAATCCACTTCAGTTCATGAACGGCTGCACTTAGCTCAGAAAAAGTCTAGCAAAGGCCATGTAATATTTTTAGATATTTCAACCGAAAGAAATACAGATAAGACATTTTATCAAACAATAATTCTGCATCAAGCGCTTAAACCAAAAGAATAAAGGAATATTTGACTATTGTTTATGCTGATGGCAGATGTAAATTAAAATGAGGGCTGGTTTTTTTGTGACATCAGTACATGCAAATTAATGTGAAAAATGCAATATGGTGTTTGAATATGAAAGACTTTAGTCTGTTTGGCTCAGAAAGTAAAGAAGGATTGAAAAACATCGAATCGACAAATGACAGGACTGTAAATTTATTTCGTCCAGAAGTAAAGATTAGTTTGCAAAGTAAAGATTAGTTTGTCAAAAACAATCAGGGATTGTATTAGTTTCTCTTTACACCGTAAAGTGATTGGTCAAGAACTTTGTTCCATCTATCAGCTACTCCGAGGCAATCAGATCCAGTCGTGACTTTACTAATAAATAAGCAAACTGATTTTCTACTGGTTAAAGTTTGTCCACTATTGCAAATAGAGAATGTTGAATTCAGGTTGTAATGAAAAAAGCAGAACCCTGAAAATTCAGCGCATAAGAATACTCCATCTAAATCTTATGCTATTATACTAAACGAAAAATGTTATGTGGTGCTATATATTTTATAACCATCTATATGTGCAATCATATGAATGCAGACGACTAGGTGACCGATTCCGAGAACGCCTTCGCGACGTAGAAAGAAATGACAAGGATACATCCAAACCAGTCGCTAAACACTTAAATCTCCCTACTTATTCTATACAGCATATGGCAGTTTGCAGCCTTTCCTTACATTTTGGCAGTTCGGAAAGCCGCAAAACATTAAAACAAAAATTTATCTTCTAAATCGGCACTCTTAATCCCCACAGTATCAACGAGCGCTTTTGATTCAACTAATTTATTCTTGTTTTCTCGTCACCATATTCCCACCAATAGCGTAACTCCATTTTGTGCATATAAACCCACACACAACCCACAACTCTTCCGATCGCCCTGACGAAGGGCTAACGCTCGAAACGTCAGCCTTTACACTCTTTACGATGGCCAATTTACGATTTCAACCCAGTTGTTAACTCTAAATTACCTCTCTTTATACATACATACATATATATATAAATATTATGAGAGGAAAAAAGGATGCAACTACATTTCCCGACAAGCCTGTTTCGTGAATCACTTCACTCTTCAGGGGTTTAATGAAAGAATATTCATGTGACTATCGTTTATATACTAGGAAAATTTACATAATACGCGGTAAACTTAAAAACTTTAAAGTTCAGCTGTTGCGTAGCAACGCTTTGTTTCTGTGTCGGCATGAAGATACGAGTTCGTTACGCTTATTTAGTGATGAGAGGTCGGGTCGGTAAATTATCAGGAATTTTTCTTTTAGGCAGAGGTTGCATCTTTTACTGGAGCTGTTGTAGGGAGAGTTGGATGATAAGACGCGCCATGAAATAGAATAGTCAATGTTGTCGTTCTTGAGTGTCCAGATGTGTTTGCTAAGTTCGGTAGAGTTTTTGTGCTTGGCGTGGCGGAATGATGCGGTGTGATTTCTGTGTCTTATTTTGAAGTCGATTTCTGTGAGTCCAATGTATGTTTCAGAGGTGTTGTTGTATCTGTTATATATATATATGTATGTATGTATGTATGTATACAAACAAATAAATGCAGGATTTAATATGAAATAAGAATTAAAGGATCTTTAAAAAAGTTTGAATTCTGCCAATATCCTTTTCCACTTGAGTGACAGGTCTAAGGAATTCCAAAGTTTGATATTCCTAAAACAAATTTTTCTCCGCCGTGTGGTGGATCTGTACAGGAAGATCTGAGGAATCTGGGCATTCCATGTCGATCGATTGGTGACAACTGACTTTAGTGAGAATTTCCAAAAGTGAGTTAACTTTATGCATCTCTAATTTTTTCTTATAATGTCAAAGAAAACTGAAGAGAGTCTGAGCGCGTGATTTGCAATCCGGATGTCTGTTGTCTAACTCTAGCCAGCCTCTTCCTGGGAGCGAGGTTGGAGTCGGATGTCATGCTTTGTACATGGCCAACTGGTCATTCATCGACTGGAGTTACTAAGAAGTTACGTCATGTAATTTGAGGTCTCTTCAGCTCCAAAGAGAATCGTCTTTTTTGAAATAAGTATTTATTTCCTGTGGTAGACAAACACTAAAAAAAGTTTCAACATAACAAAAAAAAAATGAGGATAGACAAGAACAGCGGTGATTGGCGCAAGGTAAAATTAAAAAAGGTAAAAGTTGATGCTAAATTTTTCAAAACGGACTAACCATCTTAGTGAAAGGCGTAGAGCTCCTTGTATTTTGTTTAATTAGCATAAATGTATAACCCTCTGTCTTTCCTTAAGTAAGTAAGTGTCCGGGTTACTACTGAGAAGGTTGAGACTGAGTCGAACGAACAACCATCAATTCTAGTCGACTTAATATTATTCTTTATATCAGAAACTGCAAAACTAAACTCTGGAAGTCTGTGTGTGACCGCAGGCAATTACCGGCTAAATTCGAACAGGGATACATTTAACTGTAGTAAAAACGCTGATGAACTCGTGGCGCTTATTACACTATAAAGCCGCCTAAAAATCGGTTTTGAATTTAATTCACGAGCTAAACACTTTACAAGGTTAATGATTTATTATCCTATTTACAATTGAAAAAACATACATCAAATGATAACATAACTTTGAAATAATACTTCAAGTATCTAGGAAGCTTTATGGTTATTTATAAATTTCTCATACAAAATGTGCTTGAAACTAACAACTGATGCTTTCCTATAACTGACTCTGTAGTACCTCATTGTGTAGTTTCCCTAAACGTTAAAGTTCATCCTCCCTCAGTTTTCCTGAAGCACTTTCGACAGATCATGTTTAATTGGCATCAGAAACGAACCCAACCAATGTGTTACCATTTAATTTAACCAATAGAAAAATACTACAATCCTACAAACTCAACTACTTTATTACACAACGAGTGATATTCTTAATAAGGAGCGTCTCTTAAAGGCAGTACAGTACTTATGCTCCATAAACTTACTTAAGCTCACTACAGCCTATATCGTAGCTCGCCACTGAGCAGAACACACAGTTTCCTCCGTTTGTTGATATTAACAATCTTCCACTGTAGCTCTCTCTCACGGTATAGATTTCTAAACAGTTGGTCACTCTCGACAACAACAACAACTACTACTACTACATATAACTGAGTCTTTATATACATTCACAAAAGAACTATCTTAATGATATTACGTAAAAATTGCGTGACTTTATCAAATGTTTTAGAAAGTTCTATTGCACGCATGTCAGCATGATTAAGCAGTCTGGAGATTTCTAGAAGCTTCTATTGACAATACCAATTATTCATAACAAATGCTATTCTCTAAATCGACTAACGATGCCTCGTATTATGTCCATGAGAGTGCGACGAATGGGTCCTATCTTCCAGCAGTATATAACAGGGTTCAAAGACGAGTTGAGGAAAAACAAAGTCGTTGTATAGAGCGAAGCAACGTAGAGAGAGATTGGACTTGAAAGGCGAGCCATTTGTAAAAAAGAGAGAATATAGGAAGGCAAATAACAAATCATGAACACAACACATACATAAAATGTTCCAAGAGCTGACTTTCGCAGCTTCAAAAAGTTTGATGAGTCGCCATTTTGAACTCCCTGTTGTACTTCTTGGATTTGAAGGCCTTGAATCTGGTTTTTGTGTCGCTTTAAGACTATATAAATCCTCCAGTAGACAATTACTACCAGAATGAGGCAAACAGTCATGTTCACGAACCACACGACTTGTGAGATGATAAGCAGTGAATCGTAAAAGGCACTAGAAGAAATAATTGTGCTAAACAGCCATATTGATATCACCGCTGCAATCACGCGCTTGTGAGTCACAAGCTCTTGATATCTGAGATGAAGGTGAACAGCTAAGAACCTGTCCACACTTATGGTTACAACATTCAAGAGCGAGGATATACAAAAGAAATTGATAGCGGCCAACAATTTCTTGTAGGAAATGCAGTCGATACGTTTTTGATTTAACCGGCTGACCAAAGTAGAAATGTAGAGCGGTTGGACCAACAAACCAACGCCAACATCGGAGGCAGCCAGGCTCAGTAATAATGTTCTCAAAGGTTTTGGCAACAACGCCGTTTTCCTTATCGCATGGATGGTAACGATGTTCAAAATGATGGTTGTATAACACAAAAAGCTGTTGAAGACACAATTAGCGACAACTGACGGACGAAAATCTTCAACATCCGTAGAGGTTCCAGAGAAAAACTCGTTAAGAATGTCGCAAACGTTTTCCGCCATGACAACTGAGCGTTAAAACTACTGTGGCTTCGAAACGGAAAATTTTAGATCATAAGTATCTGTCAATCACAAGCATATAACACAATCGAAGCCATCTGTATGTAAATTCAGGATGTCTTCAACTCTGACGTTTGAACTTTTGAAAAAGGCATCGAGTATCGCTTTAACTCGGCGTTAGTTAGAACTAAAACAAATTATCTGTTTAATGCTTCGATACATTTTAACTAAACATGGCATTTACATTATTTAGAGGAAGGCTGTCATTAACATATCTTTCACCTATCAAAATGAATATACGAAACATTGTAGTAAGTTAAATCAAAGTGTCTGACATATGCCTTTTAATTATTAAATTCGCCTGAATACACTGAATTCGTCTTCAGAGACCAAACATTTTATGATTGGTGAGGGGTGGGGAGAGAGACAAAATAACTATTACGAATTAATTACGCACTCGTTTGTGGCGGATCTAGGGGGTGTTTAGAATGTTCGGCAAACTTACGAAACTGAGATAATACTGGCATATTTTTCAGTCGATTTAGAGTAGCTTGGAAATAATTTCCGGTGGTGGATACAGATATAGATAGCCCTCCCCCCTTATAGACGACCGCGTTCGGCCCTCACTTTGACTACCTCCTCACAAGTCCCGGATCCACTTCAGTTCATGAACAGCTGCACTTAGGTCAGGAAAAGTTTAGCAATGGCCATGTAATATTTTTACATATTTCAATCGAAAAAAAGAAATACAGATAAGACATTTTATCAAACAATAATTCTGCATCAAGCACTTAAACAAAAAGAATACAGTAAGTTTGACTATTGTTTATGCTGACGGCAGATGTAAATTAAGAACGATGGCTCTCTTTTTTGTGACATCAATAGATGTAAATTAAGTGCGAAAAATGCAATATTGTGTTTAAAATATGAAAGATTTTAGCCTGTTAGGCTCAGAAAGTAAAGAGGAATTAAAAACAACGAATCGGCAAATAACAGGAGTATAAATTTACTTCTTCCAGAGGTATAGAGTAGTTTGCAAATGAGCGGTGTCAAAGACAGTCAGGAATTGTATTAGTTTCACTTTACATCGTAAAGTGATTGGTCAAGAGTTTCGCTCAATCTGTCAGCTACTCCAAGGCAATTTAGAGCCAGTCGCGACTTTACTAATAGATAAGCAAAATGATTTTCCTTAATTTTTCTCTCTAAATAATCTGCTGGTTAAAGTTTGTCCATTATTGCAAATAGAGAATCTTGAATTTAGGTTGTAATGAAAAAAGCAAAACCCTGAAAATTCAACGCATAAGAATACTCCTCTGAATGATGTGCCACTATAATCAACGCAACATGTTATGTGGTGCTATATATTATGCAACCATCCATATGTGAAATCATATGAATGCAGATGACTAGATGACCGATTCCGAGAACACCTTCACGACATCGAAAGAAATGACAAGGACGCATCCAAACCAGTCGCTAAACACTTTAATCTCCCTATTTACTCTATATAGCAGTTTCTGGCCTTTCACTAAATTTAGGCACTTCAGAAAGCAGCAAAACACTAGAGCAAAAATTTATCTTCCAAATCGGCACTCTTAATCCCCACGGTATCAACGAGCGATTTTCATTCAACTAATTTATTCTTGTTTTCTCGTCACCATATTCCCACCAATAGTGTACTCCATTGTCTGCATATAAACCCACACACAACCCACAACTCCTCAAATCGCTCTGACGAAGGGCTAACGCTCGAAATGTGAGCCTTTAAACTCTTCACGGTGACCAATTTACGTTTTCAACTTAGTTGCTAACACTAAACTACCTATATATACATGCATATTTATATACATAAGTTAAAGAAGAGGACGCATCGATTCCCTGTAACTCTGAGTTTAGCGCCTAAGTGCTCGTCAAACAACTTTATTCAACGAAAAACATACCTCCTTATACACAAATTAGATAAGAAGCTAATTAATTCCCTAGTGTGATGATCTAATTTATGCGTGAAATAATTTATGTTTAAATTTCTCCAAACGGACTAACCGTCTGAATGAAAGGCGTAGAGCCCCTTGGGCTTTGTGCATTTGGCATAAAATGTATAACCTTCTGTCTTTGGCTAAGTTAATAAGTGGCCGGGTTACTATTGACAAGGTTGAGACTTTTAGTCGAATGGACTACCATCAAGTCTAGTGGAAGTAATATTATTCCTTAAATCAGAAACTGCACAACTAAATTCTGGAAGTCTATGTGTGATCGCAAGTAAGTAAAGGCTTTATTTAAAGAGGGTTATATTTAACTGTAGTAAAAACACTGATGAACTCGTGGCCCTTTTTACACTATAAAACGATCTAAAAATCAGTTTTGTATTTAATTCACAAGCTATACACTTTTCAAGGTTAAAAGTTTACGATCCTATCGACAATTACAAATGCATACATTAATTAATTACAACCTTAAAATCACATTTCAAGTAACAAGGAAGCTTTCTGGTTATTTACATATTTCTCATACAAAATGCGCTTGAAACAAGCGACTGATACTTTCTTATGCTTGAGTCTGTGGTACTCCATAGTGTAACTTTCGTAACCGTTTTTTAGGTTCGTCCTCCCTCAGTTTTCCTTAAGTACTTTTGACAAATCAAGTTTGATTTTACCATGGTCGAGACTCTTATTCCATGCATTGTGAATTGGCATCAGAAACGAACCCAGCCAATGCTATTCTCTGAACCGATTGACGATGCCTCGCATTATGTCCATGAGAGTGCGACGAATGGGTCCCATCTTCCAGCAGTATATAACAGGTTTCAAAGTCGAGTTGAGGAAAAATAAAGTCGTTACATACAGTCGAGCTTCATATAAAGAGATCAGACTTATAGGGCGAGCCAGGAATAAAAAGAAAGAATGTAGCAAGGCAAATAACAAATTAAGAACACAATGCGTACAAAAAATGTTCCAAGAGCTGACTTTCGAAGCTTCAAAAAGTTTGATAAGTCGTCATTATGAATTCACTGTTGTGCTTCTTGGATTTGAAGGCCTTCCATCTGGATTTTGTGTCGCTTTAAGACTATATAAATTCTCCAGTCGACAATTATTATCAGAATGAAGCAAACAGTCATAATTACGAGCTCAATGACTTCTGAGCTGATAAGGAATGGATCCCAAAAGATATTAGAGGAAATAATTGCGCTAAACAGCCATATCGATATCACCGCTGCAATGACGCGCTTGTGAGTCACAAGCTGTTGATATCTGAGATGAAGATGAACAGCTAAGAACCTGTCCACACTTGTGGTTACAACATTCAAGAGCGAGGATGTACAAAAGAAACTGACGACTGCAAACAATCCCTTGTAGTAAATGCAGTCGATACGTTTTTGTTTTAACCGGCTGACCAAAGTAGAAATGTAGAGCGGTTGGACCAACAAACCAACGCTAACATCGGAGGCAGCCAGGCTCAGCAATAATGTTCTCAAAGGTTTTGGCAACAACGTGGTTTTCCTTAGTACATGGATGGTAATAATGTTCAAAAAGATGTTTGTATAAGACAAAAAGCTGTTGAAGACACAATTAGCAACAAGTACCGGACGAAAATCTTCAACATCCGCAGAGTTTCCATAGAAAGACTTGTTGAGAACGTCGCAAAAGTTTTCCACCATGACAGCTGAGTTATAACTACTATGGCTCTGATATTTTCCGATTTTAAACGGAAAATTTTAAGTCATACGTAGCTGACAATCTCGAGTACATAACACAATCGAAGCCATCTGTACGTGTCTGAAAGATGTCTTCAACTCTGCGGCATTTGAATTTTTATAAAAAAGGCATGGAGTACCGCTTTCACTCGGCGTTGGTTAGAGCTTAAAACAAATTATTTGTTTGATGCTTCAAGACATTTTAACTAAACATGGCCTTTACACCTGAAAAAAGTTATTCGAAGGAAAGTTGTCATTAACATATTTTTCATCTATCAAAATGAATGTACGAAACACTATAGTCAGTTAAATTAAAGAGCCCTTGACATATACTTCTTTATTATTAAATTCGCCTGAATACACTGAATACAGCTTCAGAGACCGAGCATTTTTATGGTTGATGAGGGGTGGGGAGAGAGACCCAAATAATTATTACGAATACTTTACGCATTCGTTTGTGGCGGATCGAGGAGGTAATTAGAATGTTTAGCAAACTTACTAAACTGAGATAATACCGGCATATTTCTCAGTCATTAGAGTAGCTTGGGAATATTTTCAGGTGTCGGATTATTACAGATAGGCCCTCCCTCCCCCTATAGACGACCGCGTTCGGCTCTCACTTTGATCACCTCCTCACAAGTCCCGGATCCACTTTACTTCATAAACAGTACTAAGTTCAGACGTTTAGCGGCCTAAAACTCGTCTGCAATTAATTTTAATCGTTCACAAAAAGTACCTAGAAAGTTAAAACGTGAGGTATTTGGTTACAGTTAAGTCTAGCAGAGGCCATGTAATATTTTGATTTGTTGTTGTTTTTTTTTTTGAGAGGGTACCGTAACGAACCTTGCAATCTGATTGGTTCCTTACCCGGTCGGTATTTTCCTATCTCTGCCCACGGGCCACGGTAACGCTTTCGTTAGTCGCCAAGTACATTCCAACTTTCGTTGCCATTTTTCATAAATATGTCTCGTTTTTCCGGCTAGGCAGTATTTTTAAGCAAACACGTCGGTCACTACCTCAAGCCGATGAATAACTTATGAATCCTCTCTTTTCTCTCTATCAAATCACTTTGATTGACAGAAAAATATTGGTTTCGGAATGAATTTGTATAAACAATAGTGTCATTACGTTGGTTGACAAGCGGCCTAAAACTCGTCTGCAATTAATTTTAATCGTTCACAAAAAGTACCTAGAAAGTTAAAACGTGAGGTATTTGGTTACAGTTAAACTGATCGATGGAACTTTCATTCATTTAATACCTGAATTTTCTTAAGCAATTTGTTCGTAGTGAAAGAGCGAGCGAAGTTTTAATTTAAGCTCTACAACAAATATACGCTCTCGGTGAGTCTTTCCAAGTCCGTTCAATTTGAACATTTGTACCGTAAATTGCACAACAGAAACTGAAGGAATGTTTTGAGAAAAGGCCGCACTAAATCCCCTTGTGTCTCGTTGGATTATGCCATTCGAATTTAGTTTTTGTGAAGGAAAGACCAGATTTACATACGCCATTGCAGCAAACAAACGAGCAAACTCTCACAACTTCAAAATAAAAAAATTGAATTTACTCACAATCACTTTCCTCGCCGTTTACTCGGTCTTGAAAATGCTGCCCTCGGCCTACGGCCTCGGGCAGTATTTCCAAGACCTCGGTCACAATTTTTCACCATACGGACCTCCCAGCCGGCAAATAACATATATTTATCAGAGAATAATTCTGCATCAAGCGCTTAAATGAAAAGAATACAGGAAGTTTGACTGTTGTTCATGTTGGCGGCAGATGTAAATTAAAAATGAGGGCGGGCTTTTTTTTCGACATCGGAGGCAGCCGGGCTCAGTAATAATGTTCTTAAAGGTTTTGGCAACAACGCGGTTTTCCTTATCGCATGGATGGTTACGATATTCAAAATGATAGTTGTATAACACAAAAAGCTGTTGAAGACACAATTAGCGACAAGTGCAGGACGAAAATCTTTAACTTTCGCAGAGGTTCCAGAGAAAAACTCGTTAAAAAGGTTGCAAACGTTTTCCGCCATGACAGCTAAGCGTCAAAACTACTGTGACTCAGATATTTTCCAATTCTAGCACGGAAAATTTAAGTCATATGTAGCTGTCAATCACAAGCATACAACACAATCGAAGCCATCTCTACGTGCAGTCAAGATATCTTCAACTCCGGTATTTGAATTTTGGAAAAAAGCATCGAGTATCGCTTTAACTCGGCGTTGGTTAGAACTAAAACAAATTATTTGTTTAATGCTTCAAATCATTTTAACTAAACATGGAATCTATACCTGAAAAAAGGTTATTTGAAGGAAAGCTGTAATTGATATATCTTTTTTTATCTAGACAGACCCAAATAATTATTACGAATAAATTACACACTCGTTTGTGGCGGATCTAGGAGGTAATCAAAATGTTCAGCAACCTTACCAAACTGAGATACTATCGGCAAATATTTCAATCATTTTAGTGTAGCTTGAGAATATTTTCCAGGAGTGGATTATTACAGATAGCCCTCCCCCTTACTGACGACCGCGTTCAGCTCTCATTTTGACCACCTCCTCACAAGTCCCGGATCCACTTCAGTTCATAAACAGCTGCACTTAGCTCAGAAAAAGTTTAGCAATGGTCATGTAACATTTTTACATATTTAAACCGAAAGAAATACAGATAAGACATTTTATCAAACAATAATTTTGCATAAAACACTTAAACAAAAAGAATACAGGAAGTTTGAATATTGTTTATGCTGATGGCAGATGTAAATTAAAATGATGGCTGGCTTTTTTGTGACATAAATAGATGTAAATTAAGTGTGAAAAATGCAATATCGTGTTTACAATATGAAAGACTTTAGCCTGTTAGGGTCAGAAAGTAAACTTGAATGAAAAACAACGAGTCGGCAAATAAAAGGACGATAAATTTACTCTTCCAGAGGTAAAGAGCAGTTTGCAAATGAGCGGTGTCAAAAACAGTCAGGAATTGTATTAGTTTCACTTTACATCGTAAAGTGATTCCTCAAGAGTTTCGCTCCATCTGTCAGCTGCTCCAAAGCAATTAGAGCCAGTCGCGACTTTACTAATAAATAAACAAAATGACTTTCCTTAATTTTTCTCTCTAAATAGTCTGCTGGTTAAAGTTTGTCCACTATTGCAAATAGAGAATCTTGAATTCAAGTTGTATTGAAAAAAGCAGAACCCTAAAAACTCAGCGCATACGAATAATCCATCTGAGTCTTATGCCATTATACTCAACAAAAAATGTTAAGTGGTGCTATATATTATGCAACCATCTATATATGCAATCATATGAATGCAGACGACTAGGTGATCGACTTCGAGAACACCTTCACGACAAAGAAAGAAATGACAAGGACGCATCCAAACCAGTCGCTAAACACTTTAATCTCCCCAATTATTCTATACAGCATATGGTAGTTTCCGGCCTTTCCCTAAATTTAGACAGTTCGTAAAGCCGCAAAACACTAGAACAAAAATTTATCTTCCAAATTGGCACTCTTAATTTCCACGGTATTAATAAGCGCTTTTGATTCACCTAATTTATTCTTGTTTTCTCGTCACCATATTCCCATTAATAGCGTCGCCCAATTTTTGCATATAAACCCACACACAATCCACAACTCCTCCAATCGCTCTGACGAAGGGCTAACGCTCGAAACGTTAGCCTTTACACTCTTCACGGTGACCAATTTACATTTTCAACTCAGTTGTTAACAATTAACTACCTATATATACATGCATATATATATATATATAAATATGAAGGTAGAGTCTACCTTGGCATAAAGTGCCCAATGCTGTAGTAGCAGAGCTGGGTATATATAAGTGAAAGAATCAAAGAGGACGCATCAATTCTCCGTTACTCTGAGTTTCGCGCCTAAGCGCTCGTCAGACAGAACTTTCACATAGTTCATTTCACATAGTTTCAATTTTACAGAATGTAAAAATTAATGTGAATTAAGAAATTAAATTATCTCTAAATGGTTAAAAAAAAAAGGTTTCTTTAAGCAGTGTTTGAATTCTGTCAACGTCGTCTTCTACTTGGGTGACAGGACCTAATAATTGTTCTTTGCTCTTTTCTGGGTGTGAACAGGGGGATCTGAGGAATCTGGGCATTCCTTGTCGATCGATTAGTGACAACTGACTTCAGCGAGAATTTCCAAAAGAACGTTAACTTTATGCATCACTAATTTTTTCTTATTATGGCAAAGAGAACTAAAGTGGGTCTAAGCGCGTGATTCGCAATCCGGGTGTCTGTGGTCTGACTTTACCCAACCTCCTCCTGGGAGCGAGGTTGGAGTCGGACGTCATTCTTTGTACTTAGCCAACTAATCTTTCGCCGACTGGAGTTATTAAGAAGCTACGTCATGTAATCTGAGGTCTCTTTACCTCGAAAGGGTATTGTTAATTTTAAAATGAGTATTTCTTTCCTGTGGTAGACAAACACTAAAAAAAGTTCCAATATAACAAAAAAAAAACGAGGATAGCCGAGAACAGCGGTGATTGGCGCAGGGAACAATTTAAAAATAGGTGAAATTGAGGACTAAAACGAATTCAAAACGGACTAACTGTCTGAGTGAAAGGCGTAGAGATCCTTGTATTTCGTGTAATTTGTATAAAATGTATAACCTTCTCTCTTTGCCTAGGTAAATAAGTGCCCGGGTTACTATTGACAAGGTTGAGACTTTTATTCGAACGGACAACCATCAAGTCTAGTCGACTTAGTATCATTCTTTATATCAGAGACCGCACAACTGAATTCTGGAAGTCTATATGTGATCGCAAATAAGTAACGGCTTTATTCAAAGAGGGTTATATTTAACTGTTGATGAACTCGTGGCCCTTATTACATAATAAAGCGACCTAAAAATCGGTTTTGAATTTAATTCACAAGCCATACAGTTCACAAGCTAACTGATAATTCATTATCCTATTGACAATTAAAAATACATGCGTCAAATGATGACATAACTCAAGTATCGAGGAAGCTTTCTGGTCATTTACAAAGTTTTCTTACAAAATGCGCTTAAAACTAACGACTGACATTTTCTTATGCTTGACTTTATAGTACCTCACTGCATAGTTTTCCTAGCCGTTAAAGTTAATCCTCTCTCAGTTTTCCTTACTCACTTTCGGCAGATCAAGTCTAATTTGACGATGGCCGAGGCTCTCATCCCATGCACTGTGAATTGGCATCAGAAACGAACCCAATCAATGCGTGCAATCTAACCGACAGAAAAACACTTCAATCCAACAGACCCAACTACTTTATTTGACGAGTGATTTCTTAATAAGGAGTGACTCTTAGAAGCAGTTTAGTACTTATCCTCCATAAACTTACTTAAGCCCACAACAGTCTATATTTTAGCTCGCCACTGAGCAGAACTCACAGTTTCCTCCAACGTTTCTTCAAATTAGCTATCTTCCACTGTAGCTCTCTTTCACGGTAAAGCTTTCTCAAGAGTCGGCCACTGCCGACAACAACAACTACTACCACCACTACACGACTTGGTCCTTTTATACATTCACAAAGTGTTCTGGAACATTCCAGAAGCTTTCAAAAGAACTATTTTAGTAGTATTACGTAACAATTACGTGACTTGATCAAATGTTCTAGAAAGTTCTATGGTACGCATGTCAGCATAATTAAGCAGTCTGGAGATTTCTAGCAGCTTATATTTACAACAACAGTTCATCATAACAAATGCTATTGTCTGAAACGATTGACGATGCCTCGTATTATGTCCACGAGAGTGCGACGAATGGGTCCCATCTTCCAGCAGTATATAACAGGGTTCAAAGACGAGTTGAGGAAAAACAAAGTCGTTGTATGGGGCCAAGCTTTGTAGTAAGAGATTGAACTTAAAAGGCGAGCCAAGAATAAAAAAGAGAGAATACAGGAAGGCAAATAACAAATCAAGAACACAACACATACATAAAATGTTCCAAGAGCTGACTTTCTAAGCTTCAAAAAGTTTGATAAGTCGCCATTTTGAACTCCCTGTTGTACTTCTTGGATTTGAAGTTCTTCCATCTGGTTTTTGTGTCGCTTTAAGACTATATAAATCCTCCAGTAGACAATTACTACCAGAATGAGGCAAACAGTTATAATCATGAGCCCTATGACTAGCAAGATGATAAACAATGGATCCCAAAAGACATTAGAAGAAATAATTACGCTGACCAGCCATATTGATATCACGGCGGCAATTACGCGCTTGTGAGTGACACGTTCTTGATATCTGAGATGAAGATGAACAGCTAAGAACCTGTCCACACTTATGGCTACAACATTTAAGAACGAGGATATACAAAAGAAATTGATAACGACGGACAATCCCTTGTCGTAAATGCAGTCGATACGTTTTTGTTTTAACCTGCTCACCAAGGTAGAAATGTAGAGTGGTTGGACCAACAAACCAACACCAACATCGGTGGCAGCTAGGCTCAGTAATAATGTTCTCAAAGGTTTTGGCAACAACGCGGTTTTCCTTGTCGCATGGATGGTAATAATGTTAAAAAAGATGTTTGTATAACACAAAAAGCCGTTGAAGACACAATTAGCGACAAGTGCCGAACGAAAATCTTCAAAATCCTCTGAGGTTCCATAAAGAGACTCGTTGAGAATGTCGCAAACTTTTTTCGCCATGGGAGCTGAGCGTTAAAACTACAGTGACTCTGATATTTTCCGATATTTTAATGGGGAAAGTTTAAAGTCATATTTAGCTGTCAATCACAAGAATAGAACACAATCGAAGCCATCTGTACGTACAGTCAAAATGTCTTCAACTCTGTCATTTACATCTTTGAAAAAAGCATCGAGTATCGCTTTCACTCGGCGTCGGTTAGAACTAAAACAAATTATTTGTTTAATGCTTCAAGGCCTTTTAAGCTAAACAAGGGATTTATACCTGAAAAAAGGTAATTTAAAAGAGAGCTGTCATACATATTATCAAAATGAATAAGCGAAACATTATAGTCAGTCAAATTAAAGAGCGCCTGAAGTATTCTTCCTTATTAATAACTTCGTCTGAATACAAGGAAGACATCTTCAAAGACACAGTATTTTTACATAATTCAACCGAAAGAAATACAGATAAGACATTTTATCAAACACTAGTTCTGCATAGAGCACCAAAACGAAAAGAATACAGGAAGCTTGGCTATTGTTTAAGTTGACGGCTGTTGTGAATTAAAAATGAGGGCTGGTATTTTTTTAACATTAAGTGCCGCTCTCGCTAAGAGCGGTCCTCTCGACTTCCCGTCGGAAAAAAGTTTTTTTTAATTTTTTGCCCATGAAATTCTCTTTTTTTGCGTCGCCACAAGCCAAAAATTATTTTTGGCTAGACCACCTGTGTGGACAGCGATCGAAAGTGTAAATTTCACAGATCTTGTCCAGCGCAGCGACTGCAATGATAAAGCTCACGGAATTCTATCTCGCTACGAGTTACAAGGTGCCTTCAATTAGTTCACAGAAAAAATATGGAACCTTCAGCTGAAATATTTAGAAATATTAGCCTTCTCTTCGACCTTTATTTGCATATCAAAACTCACCAATTTGTACGAAAGAATTCTCAAAATGCAGGCGTTAATCGGGCTAAAAAAGCATATCAGTGTATAGTTTATACAACAATGAGGTCATTGATTGCCTCAAATGCGCGGGTATATCTGTGGCTTTCATCCACCAACATCTAAAAAACAGCGCAAACCCATGTGTTTGCTCAATTGCGCTCGTGTCGATGAGCATTTGCATAATTCTGAAACTCGACCCTTTTGACCATTCAAACTTCGTTTGTTTATCCTCTACGTTGAGTATTTCAGGTTTTCATAACAACTGAATGGAGAATAGATGCCGAGTTGCCCTAAAACGTTGCGTAAACGTGATCGGTCATAACGCTTGCATGCTTGCGTGACTTACAAAATAAACAGAAGTTATCGGAAGGCGCCTTCTCGATAATTTTCGTTGAAATATATATCTGGTCATGAACTATGCACAGTGTGGAGAAGATCAAAGTTAAATAATAAAGTTTGGCACTCTAGTCATTACAGATATATCGCGTTACTTAAAAGGACACACAAACAAGTTGAAATACGTTACAGTATTATTGACCAAAACAACACACATACACCCTGAAAGAATTCTTGCAGTTTCTCCCGAGATTTTGCACACGTAACGCGACGAACGGAAGTCGAGAGGACCGCTTAGCGAGAGCGGCACTTAATACACGTAAATTAGAGGTGAAAATGCGATGTTATGTTTGAATATGAAAGACTTTAGCCTGTTAGGGTCAGTAAGTAAAGAAAGAATAAAAAAACAACAAATAGGCAAATGACAGGACTAAAAATTTTTTTCGTCCAGAAGTGAAAAGAAGTCTGCAAATGCGCGGTGTCATGGATCGTACTAATTTCGCTTTACATCGTAAAGTGATTGGTCAAGAGTTTTGCTCCATCCGTCAACTACTCGGAAGCAAATTAAAGCCAATTGCCACTTTATTCATAAATAAGCAAAATGATTTCCTTAGTTTTTCTCTCTAAATAACCTGCTGGTTAAAGTTTGTCCACTATTGCAAATAGAGAATGTTGAATTCAGGTTGTATTGAAAAAAGCAGAACCCTAAATATTGTGCGCATAAGAATACTCCACGTGAATCATGTGCCATTATGCCAGACGAAAACTTTTATTTGGTGCTATAAATAATGGAATCATCTGTATGTGCCATCATATGAATGTAAATGGACAGAACTTCCATGTGTCGCTGTTTGCAATGAGGTGAGAAGGGATTCCTACCTTTACGCCCGTGAATAAGACCCACTCAAATGAGAGGTGCTGGGTGGTTCTAGATTAATGTGGTTGACAATTTAGTGTTTGACAATTTAAATGAAAGCTACAGCGTAGTATTTTAATGTGGTACAGTTTATCGTGCAGCATAAGGTGGTTCCAGCTTGGATAACATCCTGTATTTTGACTGTTCGAACGAAAGCTATTTCGCAGTTCTTCCATGTGCACTGTTTATCAAGCACCATGAAGTACTTCTAAAGTCTGTGGATCAAACACTAGCGTTTGACCATTCAAATGAAAGCCACGGAGAAGTATTTTCATGTGTTTCAGTTCATTATATTCCTCAGATGGTTTTCACCACAAAACTTTGAGTTTAGCGGGCCGCACAGTGATATACAGCCCGCTAAATCTACCAATGATAGCCCACGTACAAACCGAGAGATAAATAATAAAATGCTAGTTATCTAGAGTGGGGCATAACGGTTTAGCTCTTATTTTTGTGGACGAAACAGTTACGCGTTACAACTTTTTGTCAGAAATACTTTATATATGCACTCAAAATTGTTTCACGAATTTGTGCAAATTAAAATTTGTCTCATTTCTCCCTTTCATCCTCTTTTTCTTTCAGGGAGGACTGAGCTCTCATTTTCATTTCCACAAATTTTAAGGAGAAGTTATGTTTAAATGGAACCCAGCCAATACCAGTGTAAGCTTTTGTGTTCCCCATGAACTGCCCGTTCAAATTGGAGTTGTGACAATCGTTAAACCACTATCCCCAGTCAGGTCATTTGAGCAGCTTTTCGGTAAAGGGGCGAATACTTGTTGATGGGGGCGAACTGGAAGGCGGCGAACTTGCAATAGAGCGACATCTCTGTAAATCACACCGTCTACTGAACAGTATGGAGTAATCGTGACATAATAACGGCGCACTTACTAGGTCTGTCAATAACAGAAAGAGTTAAGGCTTGCACTTTCAAGGAAGTCATCACTATGCTTGAGTAGCAAGCTTTCCGATTTTTCCGCGGGGGGAGGGGGGACAGGACAAGTCTCTTTGCAACTACAATGACTTGAAATAAAATGACGAGGCTTGTTAGGAAAAGAAAAAATGTGACGAAAACTTTTTTCTCTCTTTCCTTATCTCAGGTTTTTTCAGTATGATATTGAAGTAAACAGCTGTTGTCTTTCCTTATAATCTCTCAAGCGTTTCCAATAACGATGCCGTTCGTTTTCGTTAATTTGTATATCGCACATGAAGATTTGATGTATAGTAAAGGTAATATAAGTGCAAGCAATTATTCAATCAACGCAAATGGCATTGTCAGTAGCTCTAGAATGAAAAGAAAATACAACAGCTGGCAACTTCGAATTCATTCGTCGAGCGTGACAGAGAACTGGTAGGAGTAAGGGTAATATTTCGCTGTCTCTTCACTGCACTCAAAGTACATCGCCTCATTATTTTATCGAGAGAAATTTCGAAGACATTCTGTCCTGTAATTCTCTACATAAAGAGATCTACCTTCAAGTTAGTGTCCACGAAATGTAATATCAAAAAGTACTCTTAATTCGCTAAGTCATTGACAGGAGAAACTATTTTCAAATTAAGTACAATAGTTAAGAGTATATTAAAAATTAATCCAAAGAAATGCAGATATAACTTATTCAATTCAACTGATTTCAGAGCTCTCTTCGTTAACAGTGTAATAGCACAACTGTTAAATCAATGATAAACATAGGGGCATCATAACCTTCAAATGGCTGCATTTGATTGGCCGAAGTTCTCTTTGGTGGTTTTTTTTTTTTTAATAAATAATTTTCAATATCGTTGTTAATCATTTTATATGAAAAAAACCGCCTCGTTCTGTTTTTCGTTGAAAGATATTCCGTATACCTCAGAGGAGCTTCTTCTTTGGCTTCAGGCAGTTTAACACGACATTGGGGGTCGACATTAATTAATCACCATTATCTGTCCATAACTTCTCTCTCAGCTCGATTGACACAAATGACCACCTCCTTATATCAAAAATAGCCTTCAAGTGAAATGTTTCCCTTCGAGCGATAATCTTTGTCCCAACACACTTACTAAGCAAGCAGTTGAACGCTAGATCATCATGACTGAATCAAACTGTGAAATATTGCAATAGTAACAATATATTACACAGCTATCATGTTAAACGTGGTCATAATCTATGGAATTGCAAAAACGTCTGCGTTGCCGAAACCTTTGAAAAATTGCTGCTGAGTGTTGCGTATCTGATGTTGGTGTTGGTTTGATGGTGGAGCCCTTTTTTGTTTCATTTTTTATCAAATGGTTACAGCTTCATAATCCAGACTACATATTCTACTTAGGATTCGTGTTTGTCATCGGGTTGTTTTCCATTACTTCGTTCTTCAATATCATGGCCATTAGCGTGGACAGACTCTTGGCAGTTTAACTTTATCTTAGATACCAAGCACTTAGGACTCGCCAGCGGGTTGTTGGAGTTGTCATTTTTATATGGACATTTAGTGTATTTTCAACCTTAACACTATTCATCGTTCCTTATGCTGTGCTCACGGGAATCATGTCTGGTATTAGAACCTTTTGCCTTCTCGTCATTACAGCGATCTATTGCAAGACCTTTTTTATTGTACGACGCCACAAAAGGCAAATTCAGCAAGTACGAGAACTAGAGGCACAATCTAGACAAAATAGCGAGATGAGGAACTTGGCAACCATCATGAAAACTGCTGTCGGTGTTTTATACGTTTATTTTGCGTTTTTGGTTTCATATTTCTCTCGCTTTATCCTTTTGGCTGCCCGTGTAATTACCGGCCCCAATATTGTAACAACTAGTTTTTCACTTTACACACATACGCTTATGTTCTTCAATT